TAACTCACGGTAACCGAGGGAAGCTGGTTTGCGTGCTTCTATTTAGGAGTGCACATACTTGTGTAGCTTATGTAACATATTTACAGCCCCTCCCCACCCCCACCCCCCAGCACAAACACACATATATACACACTTTGCTGACGTCATACAGCACCTCTATTCCATGAAAGGAATTTTTTAGTGTCTGTCCGAGCTCATAACAGAAGGAGCTGGACGAATGTTATCGCTGCAGCTGAACTGTGAAAGTACAGACTGTCATCAGCCGCTGGTGAGACAAGTAGGTTTGTCAGATAGAAAAGCAGCAGGTGGAACTACAGAGATAATGTGTGGCCTTCTTTCCACTGTCAGGCAGACATTCTCCACCAGCAATGGAAAAAGCACCCAGGAATAACAATTGATTCCATCAATAACAATGCATGTTGCAGCATCAAGCACTGTCCAAATTTACATAATATTATTTTGAATTCTAGTCATAGTGTTTGCATGTTCTCCCTGTGGCTTCTCTCTGGGTACTCCAGCTTCCTCCCACAATCCAAAATAAAAAAACATGCCGGTTTAGGTTAATTGGTGTCTCTAAATTCCCTGTAGGTGTGGATGTGAACATGAATGGTTGTTTGTCTCTCTATGTTAGCCCTGTGAAAGAGTGGCAACATGTCCAGGGTGTACACACTGCCCTCGCCCAATGTCAGCTGGGATTGGCTCCAGCCCCCCTGGATGTTTGATGTTGATGGATGGATGTTTCCAAAAACACCAAAACCGTGCAAAAATAGATTTGCACAGTTTAGAAAAGGACCCTCTGAATGGAAATGTTGAATATTTACATTTCATGTATAGTGCAGCTATAAAAACCTTGCGTCATGGGCTTAGTCATAGTAATTTTAAAAGTTGCTTTAGGTGGAAATATGGGTACAGAACTGATGAATTGTAGTAATTGCAGAGAAAATGTACTAAATGTTGTAACATTACGTTCATTTAGCAAATGCTTTTGTCTGTATTATTACAGAATCCACTGTATGTTGATCACTTGCTGAATTTGATCAGTCAACGTCAAAGTCAAGCATCCATGCGTTTGGTCTGCACAACACATGAAAGAAAACTCAGTGCAAACAATGCTTTTCACAAACTCAACACACAAGCTGTTACAAATGTTTAAAGATATTATGATGAGAAGAAGGCAGATGAACAAATTTAGGTCTGGTGATTTGTTTTCCAGTCGTCCGTCCACTGAATATTTAGCATTTCGTTGGCCATTCAAGTGAAACCTGCTGGTGGAGGTTGACCGGCTTTACAACTTGACAAGGACCCTCTGAATACAGCTGTTTGAATTAGATTATTTTTGGTCTCAGTCAGTTTGTCATGATGATGGTATGGTGAATCCTTAGCGGGCCGGGATGCCAATTGAGAGGGAAACCCTGGATGATTCGGGTGCCCCAGAGCTGGACCGGGGCCCTGGAAGATGCCAGAGATCAGGGAGCTGCCACTGAGCTGTTGTCAGGTCAGCCAAAAGTTCTAGTCTATTACTGCTACCCCTCCCCTCTTTATAGTCTGCCTGATTTGAGGAGCAGGCACAGGTTCAGCTCATTAGCCTTGGATTCTCCCAAATCCTTCAAAATATACAGTCTTTGAAAAGGAATCATATTTAGGGCTGAGTATCATTGCTCTGTATATCAAGATTTGAATTGCAGTTTGAAAATGAAGGGAAAATAAAAAGCAAAAACACAATCTATTTCTACAAAGTTTGTCAGATAAATGATAATACATCCCCTCAGACTTGCGCCTCAATTTCAGCCTTTGCTTTGCCAAGCTACAGTAGTTAAATGTGGACTCAGCTCATCACTGAGGCACGTTTGTTGCATGTCACACAGTCTATTATTGCGGCTAGGGGCTGAGGCTCGTTTGCATTGATGTCGGATTAATGGAGAGTCTCTGGCACCTGAATAAGCATTATGTATTGTCTGCGTCTTCCTGCTGAGTAACTCTATACGTGGTGAGAGCGACCCGGCTGCGTCAGTCTCATTCCTGAACAGTGCTACTATACCACAGCGGCGCTCATCTTACCATGTAACCTTTTCTGACGGGGGAATTTCAGAGATTGTCCAACAGGGTACAGTTAAACCTCCCTCTGCCCTCAACACCACACCCACACCAATCAACCACCACCCTGCTTAATTGTCAGTCACCTAATCTAGTGGTTGTAGTATATACGCTCTAATGCTCAATGAGTCCTGACATGAGAATGATGGATGACTGTATGACTGTATGACTCTAACACTACTTACTGAACTTATTATCCATTTTTGGACCTTCACGTTCATGGTACAGAATATTTTTTCACTTAAGAAGCCTGATTAGACTTTTATCTCAAAACTGTGTAAGCTTGTGCTTGTTTATGCTTGTCTTTTGGTTGGTCAATAGTGTCCACTTTGCTTACTGAGTTTTTTGAAGAGTCAGTTGATAACAACTAGCATCGTGAGCTTCGATATAAACAACTGTAGATTCAAACAAAAAATTAAAAATATTACAGTCAAAAAACAAACAAGCAAATAAAAAAAAAGGAATCAATGAGAGATAAAAAGTCACAGGGTTACATGGCCACTATGAAAATAAATATCCATATTTGGGTATACATGTACAAAGACACATCTGTTTGTAATATTTTACATGATACAACACGACAACCTTTATCATTTTATTAGTTCATGACATTTTCAGGGACCTCACGTGATGCTCCACAACTCTTGACCTTGATGAACTAATCAATATTTTATATTTATATTATATATAAATACATATATATTATATATAATATTATGAATTGGCGGTATTGTTGCTATGGTTACTTAGAGTTTGATATACATTCCTCGCTGATAGTTTGAGTCATCCTGCCAGCCAATAGGATATGAATATCTTCCATGTTTGCAAAGTGATTAAAGGGACGGTTCATTCAAGAAAACAATAAAAAGCTATTCGGTGTTGTCTGTCCATCCGAGTAGAGCTTCTCATTAGATTTGTTTAGTTTTACAGTTGTCATCCAGACACATTGGAGAGCTGTGGTGTTTAGTTTGTGGTGCTCAAAGTGCAAAATTACAGTTGATCAAAACTCAACAACATATTTTCTAAATAGAATAATATGTTTAGCTGCAATAATCCACATACCTTAGAGAGAGATGATTGGTTGGCAAATGTCAGTAGTTTTCAATAAATCTCTTCACAACAGTATGGAACTATAGTTGGTAACATTTTCTTATGTTTGGAAAGACATGCTTTTGTTCTGTTGATATATTGTTTTAGTCTAGTTTTAGGTGAAGTGGCCCTTTAAATTCCTGGAAAGCTCTAGTAGGACCATGTTGCAGTGCTGTGTGACACGCAGTGGAAAACAAAGGTCTCATGTACTAGGTCAGTGTGGAAACTGATTTCCTGATCAGTGATCTCCTTTGTCCGTTCACTGGAGAAACATGTATTTCTGTAGTACATGCTGTTCTCCGTCTGCACTTGCACAGTGTCCTCTTTCATTCTCACCTTAGCTGGTAAATAGCCACCGGGGATGCGAGTGTTAAACCTGACAGCTGATGAGGGTACTGTACTGGGAACAGTGCTAGGCACAAGCAGAGTATAGGTCAGGTTTTTCCGGTGCTGACAGATGGGTGCCATAATATAGGCGCTGGCGCTTTGTCACCCTGCCTACTCCAGATACTGTTGTACAGAGACGTGGAAAAGTTTGGGGTCAGTGCGCACAGTCAGACATGTCTCAATAAGTGTTAATCGTTTGTGTCTGTTCATGAATATGAACTTCTGTGTCAGTATATATGTGGATATCTGTGTCAGTCTGTCCTCTTTAATTCTTCGCCACAACACATGTGCAGTAAGTTTCCTCTCCCACGATCCCCTTCTCCTGTGGGATCAGCCGATCTTAGGTGTCAGTGGTATCACCTGTTTCCTGGTTTCTTCCGTTGTCTTCTTCTCCCTCACGTTGCACGGACAGGGAGCCTATATTAAGAAGCTCACCGGATCTTTCCGACTGGTTGATTCCTAATGAAACCAAACCTTCTTAAATTCCCTACAGTAACCAAACTTTAACATTTAAGTGGAAAAAGTTTAGTAAAAGTTAAAACCTTCTACTTTAGATGCAATGAGCTCTCTGTTTTCTTTTCATAAAGAGTTACTTGTGTTTAAATATAACATTCAGGTTTTTGGCAGAAAAGAACAAACTTATGAGAAAATGTAAATCTGTGAGTGAATTAGAATCTTAAATGAGCATGATATAGATCATTATTGTCAAAATGAGCAAACAAAAAATGATTTATGGCAATTAATATTTTACTATGAATATAATTCTAAAACTATAATGTTTAAATATTGAGCATAGAGGGTGATTTGGTAAATTTGCACTTAATTATAAATTCAACATCCCAAGCAGAATGATAAAACCTGCAATTTCCCTACTTTAAAACAGGACTTGTGGTTTTCAGGTGGAACTGGAAATTAGTTGCAATTATGCAACGTTGTGCTGAAACATCCACTGGGTCAAAACAAGTCAGATATTAGAACCGAGTGGCATTTTACAATGTTCAGAAATACCCACAATGCTTGTGTCTTTAACTGAGGTCTCACTGGTTAATAAGCTTTTGCGGCCTTGCACACACTCGCACCTGTCACCCCACTTCCTATTGTGGAACAATGTGAAAACCATATACTTCCATATTGAATCTGAATATAACAACCATAATTTTTAAAATGTACACTTACACTACTATTCGTACTTTCATGAGTTCTTCATCGTCACATTTGGAGATCCTCTGTTCTTGTTTATTGGCTGTACTTCTTATTTGTCTTACTTTTTACGGCATCATATTTCAGTCCCAGATTCTTGGGATTCTGACACCTGACTGAAGGGCTTTTGAAGTGTCTCAAATGTCACATAGCGATCCTCTCCAGCATCTCCCCCTAACCCCCCATCAATCCCCAACTGCACACCCGAGCCCTCTGCTCTTATCACTGGCCACTCAGTCCCTGACGTCCAAAGGGGGCTGCGCTTTAATTTGTAGGACAGCTATTTGCTATTCTTAAAACTCAACAGTGTGGTGCTGCATTGGGGGAGACGTCTCTGTTTCCCCTCCACCTCTTTTCTTCTGCCTGTAGCTTTCGCCTGTAATATGGTTTTTGTTTAGTTTTTGCTGTTTGTCTACTGTAAATCAGACATGAGCTCCAGCCTGGTCAACTCTTTAGCCAAGGTTTATGACCCAAATCCTCTTCACGGTCAGAAACCTGGTGGAAGGAAGCTGTCTCTTAATGGATCAGACAGGTCCCAAGCTTCTTCATCATCACCATCCAGCTCCTCTGCTCATGATGCCGCCCTGCGCTGCGTGGAGAGCCGAATGGACTCCCTGAGCTCTCAGATGGAGCGCTTGCTCAACATGCAGCAGATTGTCTTGACTCGGCTGGACGGTCTGTCCCAGGATGTCGGGGGGATGGGTCGAGATCTGGCCTCTATGTGTGAAGAGGGCCACGGGGGACGACGTGGGTCGGGGTTGGAGGCGGCGTGCAGGGAGCTGCGTGGGGCTGTGGAGAGGGCCAGCGAGCGGATGGAGAGTCAGAGACGCAGGCTGGAGGGGGTTGAGAAGCTGGTGGAGGGCACGCAGCAGGTGATCAGCTTTATCGGGGAGGTGGTGAAGAGCTCCAGGCTGGTGGAGCTGCTGTTCAAACAGCCTGGAAACAAGGCCAACAAGAAGGTGAGGGGTTAACAAGATGTTCCTCCAAGAAATGGCTCAAAACAACCTCAGAGTCAAAATGTTTTAGATGTTTTCATCTCCGGCATCTGAGGAAGGTGTAATACAATATTTCCATAGTGCTTCTATTACACTGTAAACCCCAATCCATCCATGACACAAAGTAAAGTCAAAGTGACACCTATAAACACTTATCCCTTGTGAGGTTGACATGATTTTTTTATATTAAGTCAACAACTTTTGATTTTTGAGTTAGTTTTACTTACAGCCTAATTTGTTCTAATTTTATTTTACAAATTAAAAAAAACACAAATTATTTTATCATTTGACTGAAAACTTTGCGTCAAACTGACGAAAATCTCAAGTAAGACAGGGGTCATGTGACACATTTATTTTGTGTCAAGGGTACACATAACTTTCATGTTGCTGTACTGGAAAGTTTTGTGTGTAATAATCTGTATCAGTAGAGTGAGCCAATTGGGGCTAATGTCCATTTGACTTTAAAATTCCAATATATAATGTTGTTGTGACATAAAATGACTAAGTTATGACACATTAATTTGTTTTTGGTTAATTAAATATAATAAGCATTCAGTAACATATCAACATCCTGTTGATATAATTAAATACTCAATAAACACAAAGACAAGGGTCATGTGACTCACTTATTTTGTGCCAGGTGTAATCATAACGTTCATGTTACTGCACTGCACTAAACTAAAAGTGTTGAGTGCAAGCTGTTTCCAATACACTTAAGTTGAGTGAACAAATGGGAATTCACAGTGTACTGTGTGTTGTGATGTTAATGGACACATAGTGAGGGGTCTAATTACATTGTGATCGTAGCAGCAGATGCATTATAAGTGCCGTCTGAAAGGAATCCTCTTGATGGAATATCTGAGCTGTTTGCTATGGCATTATTAATAGTTGGTAAATACATGCAGTGCATCGTCAAACGGCTCGGGTTTTTAATTTTTTTCAAGCTGCTTCTCTCTCCTCTTAGTTTGATACGGCTCCACGTGACGCTATTATTAGTTCTGCTGTACTGCAACAAGTGCTTCTCTGTAATGTTAAGTAGTTTTCCTTTGTGCAGTGATTGTGTTGTGCCTCTGAGGCATCACACCGGTTATCTTATCCGAACCAGGTCTGTATCAGCAGTGGGCTGAACTGCAGCTGCACAGAGTCAGATCAGCACTTAGCCCGGCCTGTTCTGAGGAGGTGACATGACTGCAGTGATTGATTAGATGGGCTGGTGTCCTTGCATGTAACCACACATAGTCTGCATCACATAGTGCACGTGTGTTATTCTGGATGCGTGGTACAGTATGAAGAATGTGCCAAGGACTGAGTCGTGGTTTCTACTGTTCTGTGTTTGCAGGATGTGTGTGTGTGTGTGTGTGTGTGTGTGTGTGTGATGGAACATTTCAGATACTTGATTTGAGGCTGTTTTTACGATTGTGGTTCAGTAAACAGATTTATTACACCAGACGGCTTCTGCCAGACATGTAAAATGGCAGAGAAACCTGTGGCAGGGATCGTCTGAACTTAAAAAGCCAGTATCATGCATTAAAATGACCTTCTACTGATATTACCCTCGTATTACGTTCTTTAATCAGTGTACAATATTTGTGGGAAAGTGTAAACGAAGCTGTTTCCTGTGTTGTGTGGCACGTCGTCTGCCACAGATGATATGTGACCTTTCCTCTCCCTGGTGGAGGAGGTATCCGTCCCCCCCAGAACATCGGACTTGTGTTACGGGGGCAACAGCAGCAACAACAACAAAACATTTTGGCTTGCTGTCTGACAATTGTGCAAATGGAAATATCCAGTATATATATCTATGCCGTTGCCATCAGAAATCAGACTCCTGGCTCTTTGACAAGCGAGAAAGTGTTGCTGTAAATTTGAAGCTTTTACACCTGCTTCAAGTGTTGTCCATGTCGCTCACTTTGAGCATCCAGAGTATTATTTCACATTGAGCCCCCACTTTGTATTTGAATGTAATGTACAATGTCTAAAGCTTGATCTTTCTTCTTCTTTGTACAACAAGGCAAAGGATGACAAGGACAAAGCCAAACTGAGCCTGAAGGGCTTGAAGGCCCAGAAGAAGAGGAAGCCCCCGGACACGTCGGGTACGCTTAAACAGGAAGTTACATTTAACCACCAATCACCTGACTTTACACAGCATCTTTGTTCATTGATCTGCTAAAATGTATATGAACATTAAACCTATTATCCATTTATGCATCTACATAACTTTGCCTCAGTAGACTTGCAATGTCTATATTCTGCATGTGGCCATATCCCCTCTTTATTAGCTATCTTTGTTCACTGTCAGACCGTCCAATGAAGAGACAAGACTAAAGGCTCTGAAGGCTAGATGGTGCGCAGCTCATTACATTCCTTTGGAAATATAGTAGACAGTAGCAGCATGCACCAGTGACACCATAGAAAATAGTTTGTAATTGTTGATTGGCTGAAGAATAGAGAGACGACTCAGCTATACTCAAACAATGTAAAGTTTGGCCTGAGAGTGTGGTTTGAAGAAACGCCCTCAAAAGCTTATTATTTTATTATGGTGGCTATTTCAGGACATGTCGGACTCATCTCCACAGTGTATACTTTGATCAGTCCTACCTTCACCTGGTCAGCCATCACCTCAGTGTAGGCTCAGTGGTGCTCTGAGCTAAACCTCAACTGTCAAATCGTTTGATTGCCATTCTTCATGTCTCTGTCCGTCTCCTTCTCGTGGACATGATATCTCTGTAACGCCTTGACGGAACTTCTTCAAATTTGGCACAAACATTCACTTGGACTCAAGGATGAACTGATTAGATTTCAGTGGTCAAAGGTCAAAGGTCACAGTGACCTATTTTATATGACTCTGGATGAACAGGGATGTAACCTGAGACTAGTCTGAATGGCAGAGGCAGACAACCACAAGGAGGTAATTCTTGTCGCTAATGTTATCATGCTCACTTTGCTAATTTTGCACGTGAACATGCCAACCTGCTAAAATTAGCAAAGCATGTTAACATTGATCTAAAATACAGCTGATACTTTACTCAGGCATCAGTAGAGGGCCATCAATGTCTGTACCAATTTCCCTCCAACAATCCATCCAGTAGCTGTTGACATATTTTGCTCTGGACCAGTGGCAGTCCGATCAACCGGTGTAAATTTTAGGCATCCTAGGGTCATCGATAATCCGAACACATTCAAATTTGCTGTTTTCATGTGATAGCAGTACAGACTGCTGATGTATTTTTGTTTTTCCCACTTCAGATTCATCCTCCCTGACCGAGCCTGTGCTGCAGGAACAGGTGGAAAAGCTCAACAGGCAGAACACTGAGCATTCCCACATCAACGCAGAGGCTGAAGCCCAGAGGGGGGAGGACAGAGAAAGACAGGAGCAAGCAGAGCTGATCCTGGAAGGGTCGCACACCTCCGCCACGCAGTCAGAGGAGAGGAAGAAGACAACCAAGGAGAGAGAGGAGGGAGAGGAGGAGGGGGACGTCTTTCAGGACTCGGAGCCTGAGTTGGACGAGGAGAAGGAAGAAGATGTCAGTGCAGAGTCGGCAGGAAAAGTGGAGGATGATGGGAAGAAAAGGCATAAAGGAGAGGCAGGAGAGTCGACAAAATCAGAAAAGTCCCAGAGCATCATCGCAGACATTTGCAAGACCTCTCTCCTCCCACAGGAAAGGTATTTTTCCACTGAGTCACTTTGCTGACACTGGATTATATTTGTTGTTGTTTATTTAAGGTTTAATATTTTCCTTTATGAATGTGTGTGCAGCTCTGAGGAGGCCGGTGACGTGGCCACCTGCAGCAAACGTCGTGTCACAGAAGAAGACCTGGTGAAGGACGACCTCAAAAAAAGCAGAGTGGACAGTAAAGTGGGAAACGCTGATGGACTGGTGGTGGAGGGGGGCGAGACGCAGGCCTTTAAATCTGATGAAGCCAAGACAGATGTGGAAGAGGAGGAGGGAGAGTCAGGGGTGAAAGAATTTATTATTGGTAAGACATGACGTGTTTAACAATGAAATGTTTGGTATATTGGGAGGGGGGATGGAAAAGTTTTCACAATTTGTTACTTCAGATATGTGATTCTCGATTTTCAGCTAAGGAAGTATCTTTCCAGGATAGTGACAACACCAACTTTTATTTTGAAATTTAGGCCTTGGCTCAAGTTTTGTCAAATCCTGCTCTTAACCATATAACCTTAAATTTTTTGTGGTGGAAAGAAAATGAAGACAGATGCCAAATTCCTTTAGTCTCCATGTAGACTCAACTTAGTTGTTAGTTGGTGACATTTGACTTTTTGTCCCTCAGACTTTGAAGCAGATCCAGTGTCATAACAGCAGGCCTGCTCCAGCGTCACTGACATGTCGGTCGGCACAGCTGGCAGAGCAGATAATGAGACACTGGCATGCTGCTATTTTGATCCACTTTGTTTCTGGGTGGCCGTCGGGCCGAGGTCCATCCTCAGTCCATGTTTCACTTTCTATATTCGGCAACGGTAATGCCCTCTTTCTCTTAATTTTGTTATCGTTTGCTTTCTGTTTCAGACTCCAGCCCTCCACCGTTGGCACCTTTCGACCACCGCATCGTGACTCCCAAACCCCATCAGATCGCCACCTATTACACCATCAACAGAGATGAAGTCCTGGGAGGGTGAGTGACAAGAAAGCCCACAGAATACTCAGCTCTCCTCACAGCTCTCTGGAGTTTATTTTCATTTCAGTTCGAGCCACAGACACTTCGACACATCGCTCTTCTCTAATGAAATAACAGAGGATCTCACACCCTGTGAAGTGGCGCCTAATCGTTTTTTCCAAGACCTTTTTATTGCCCCCTAAAGGGCAGATGATTCTGAGCCTCGGAAGGCACTTGTGAAAGAACGGGCCTCTCTGATGTAATAGACCAGTGCTAAATCCTGCCTCTCCAACTGGAGATTACCCCTCAGCACGCAAGCACATTTCTAAAATTGCTGACATAATGGCACAGTACATAGCCCTAATTACTGTGTGACTGCAGGAGCCCATTATAATGATGTGTGTGTATGTATGCAAGAGCTGCGGCTAATGATTATTTTCATTATCGATTAAAAGAGTTAAGAAGTAAAAAATGACATCATGACATCAAGTTGGTTTTTTGTCAATTTACAATGATATAAAACAGAGAAAGGCAGTTTGAGAGGTTGGGAACCAGAAATTATTTGGAATTTGACCATGATCAATAACTTGAAACTAAATTGTTGTTGATAATTCTCTGTCGATTATGTAATCCTTTCAGCACGAGGATAAGTGGTACTTTATGGACTCAAAATCCAATTTCGAGGATGTCTCTTCTTCTACTCCGCCTTTTGTATCTGACTCATGAATGTGTTTGCTTTTCTTTCATTAGGGGACGTTTTGGTCAGGTCCACAAGTGCATGGAGAACTCATCTGGTCTGACGTTGGCTGCCAAGATCATCAAAGCCAGGAGCCAGAAAGAGAAGGTGCGGTAACGATCGGCCAATGGATGCTGAATATGAAACGGAATACACGTTCAGCAATAGTACCGCGATGCCAGCTTCCCCAGACAGTCTAATGAATGTTTTACTTTTATCATTGCTAAGCACCGTAAAGGATTAGATGTTAAAAATAGACATGGGCTCAGGAGCCTCAGGGGCGTGGGCATGTGTCAATTTGTCAGCCTCATTGTGTGTTTCTTGCTCTGGGTCATGTGAAAGTGATGGAGCGGGGAGGTCAGATGTCCGAGCATAGCTCTGTGGTTACGTTATCATGTGAGATATTCAGAAAGCTCCGAGCCGACCAAAAGCCCCCCAAACACACGACCAAATCCTCGGCCGGCTCATGTTGCCGTCGCCGATCGTCTGTGACTCCCAGCTTGTCTGTCCTGTTAAATTCACTGTACATATGATTGGACTCTATTGCTGCACTATATACTTTGAATATGCATCGTCTTCTTTTTCTCCACCCTCTTAAAACGTACAGCAATGATCCACGGCTCAAAACTGTTTGAAAAGCTCATTAGAGGAGCAGTCAGTAGGAGGAGTTGACTTCAGTATCTTTAAATCTAAGGATTTGACAAAAGAGAGTCGGTCAGAAAACAGCACAACTCCAATCTTTGAGATAAAGGTACAAACAGAAACCACAGGGTTCCGTATGTTACTCAGAAACTACACGAGATGTTGATACAGCTCATTTCAGGGTGGATATTTATTTTATTTATTTAATCTTTACTTAATCAGGCAGTCTGGTTGAGATTAAAATCTCTTTTCCAAGAGAGACCTGAGAACAAGAAGCAACGACAAGGCACAATCAACAACAAAGACAACAGAACTACACAATACAAGAAACTAAGAAACAAAGAATTAGCAAAAAACATTTACAAGAGTCATAGAATCCATCAAATAATAAAGATTTAAAATCTCTAAGGGAAATGTAAGACTCTAGTCTGAGGGGTGGATATACGCAGAATCAAGACAAGACAACCATCAGTATCCTACTACTATTTTCTTGACAGCTTAAATGTTTTACACAAATTAAAATGCTGATGTATCATGAGTGGAGGAGCCTGATGTTACTTCGAAGACAGTAGCTTCACTTCCATGTCAGAGTTTGCATGTGAGGGAAACAAAAACTGCTAAAAAAAAAATGAGAATACACGTTGTTGTCAGTATTTAACTATGCAGCAGCCTCTATGTTTGCTCGTGGTCTGTGTGCCTGTCTCTGCAGTGTCCCTGTGCAGTTCATGTGTAATTAGTGTTGAACTGTTCTCCTGCCTGTTTGTCTCCTCAGGAGGTGGTGAGGAATGAGATCCAGGTGATGAACCAGCTGAACCACGCCAACCTCATCCAGCTGTACGCCGCCTTCGAGTCCCGCCACGATATCATCCTAGTCATGGAATAGTAAGTCCGTCTAACAGCCCCTGTATATATGTGTGTGTATGTGTGTGTGTGTGTGTGTGTGTGTGTATCTTTTCTAATGTGCTAAATACAACAGAGATACAAGCTGTGAATATATGTTTGCTCCTCTTTGTGACGTAGTGTGGAGGGAGGGGAGCTGTTTGACCGCATCATCGATGAGAACTACAACCTGACAGAGCTGGACACGGTGCTGTTTATACGTCAGATCTGTGAAGGGCTGCAGTACATGCATAAAATGTACATCCTGCACCTCGACCTCAAGGTAAACCTACTTCAGCTTAGGATCCCGCCATGCACACGTTCCCTATCTTTATGCTTACTGTTTTTCAACACAAACCTATGCATAAGAAACCACAAGAAATCTCATTTTGGATGACACTTTTAAAAATGGTTTGCAAACAGTCATTTCTGTCCTGTTGTAATGACTCGTTCTCTCGGCTATATCCACCACAGAGGGAATTTGATTGAAAAAACCAGCAAGTTAACTGAACTTTATTGGATTCTTTATCTGAGATTGTAATTTCTCTCTTTTGTTCATTTTCAGCCAGAGAACATCCTCTGTGTCAGCAGAGCTACTAACAAGATTAAAATCATTGACTTTGGCCTGGCCAGGAGGTAAAATCTATCCTCTGTTTACAGGTGACATCTTTGTCACCTTATCTTTCATAACATAATTGACTTAACTTTCTCAGTCCCAGATCCAGCTCTCATGGTTCTGGTGTTGTGTCTCTGACAGGTATAAACCCAGAGAGAAGCTGAGGGTCAACTTTGGAACACCTGAATTTTTAGCTCCTGAAGTCATCAACTATGAGTTTGTTTCATTCCCAACAGACATGTGGAGTCTTGGTGTCATCACTTACATGCTGTAAGCTGTTGTTGCAAATTAATGCACACACACGCACGCACACACACACACACACACACACACACACACACACACACACACACACACAAACATACGGTATAAAGACACAGTCAGTAGTTTCCCTGACCTCTGTTTCTTTCTTCCTGTTCAGGCTCAGCGGTTTGTCTCCGTTTCTGGGGGACGACGACAATGAGACGCTGAACAACATCCTGGCCTGTCAGTGGAACTTTGAGGAGGAGGAGTTTACGGACATCTCCGATGAGGCCAAAGACTTCATCACCCGTCTGCTGGTGAAGAGCAAAAGCTGGAGGATGAGCGCTGCAGAGTCACTCAGACACCCATGGCTCTCAGACCGGAGTCTGCACTACCGCCTAAATCAGAAGGTAATACTGACGTCCTGCATCGTCCATGTACGGCCATGAAACACAGATTCAAAGCCACAATTAAAGCAGTTAGGATTATGGATGCACTGATTCATCTGATCCTCTCTCACTGCAGAAAAACAAGTGCCACTCCACACATGCTCCTTCTCCAGAGAGCTAAGCAGGTGAGACCTATATTTTCTGGCTAGCTAACAATCAGTTAGTCAAACTAAAGCATCTGTTCCTCCTCATACACAAATGTAATATATGTACATACATTGAATTTCCATATATGACATATCCTGTATGTACATATAAAACAAATATGTATATTTCATATAAACTAATATCTTCATACATCCAGAAGATATATATATATGTGATAATAATATATCCCCTTATAGGTGACATGTATTCAAACATCACTCTTGATACAGGGATATAGGAATATGTCATATATTAAATTTCTGTATGGGTCATGCCATCAACTGACTAACTTACCCAAACCTTCCTTTGTCTGTTTCCCTCCTAGAAACACTGTGAGGCCCTCAGCATGCCTTCTGACAATGTAGGGCCCCGGAGCCCAACACTGGACCAATGCTGCTGTACCTGTATGGCTACTGGATAACTACTCTCTGCCTTGCCTCCTCATGTTAGCTTAGCCCCGCAGCTCATAGCTCTGACCTGAATCCTGAATAGTAAGAGGCACACAGAAAAAAAGAAAAAAAAGAAAAACATACTTTTTCTAATCGCCGCCATCGAGGCTCAGACGGTCTGCTAGCATGGTTACTGTCCTGTGTGGAGCGCAAACCTTCAGACTGAACCAGACTCTGTAGCTCTGTTAGTGAGAACGGCTTGTATCGCAATGGTGAATCCAAAACAGTACAACTACAGACTACAACCTACAGCCGCTACATATATCACTGCAGAACAAACACTGCTGTCAGTGATCAGTTTGTCATGTTGTCCTGGTTTGTTGCATGCTTTGCACTTTTTGACCTATTTCTCCAAGATTCAGCAAACTACAATTCAAAATACAGACTGAATTCTGATATTTAAATAATTTTTTTTTTTTTTTGGATACATCTTTTTTCTTTCTTTGAATTTACAAGTCTTATAAAAAAAATTGTATTCACTCTCAAACTAAAAAAATACATTTAGAACAGAAGTTGACATCACACCCCATTTATTTATTTTGTATATAACACAGCACTGCTTTATGCCCCCGTTCCCCTGAAGTGTGAGAATATCTCAATGACTGAATACTTCCTGGTTCGTTACTAGCACATTTTCACTGTAGACTGGATCGCCTTCTGTTTGCATTCATGCCGCTTCGCTTCGGCAGTTTGGAGTAGCCCCGTCACCTTCCATGAAGGCACAACGAACAACAGAATACTACCTATGAATGATTCATGTTTATGACTGAAGTGGATTCTTATGTTCATTTATTTACTGGTTCAACACCAGACTGTACTTGAAGTGCAAAGCTTTTATTCAAGATGGGATGTTTTTTTTGTTCAGGGGAGATAAAAAGGATTTCACTTTAGTTTATGCACATTTGTTATGTGTAAATTCACAGTTCAGCCCAATGGGGAGCCAACAACAGTGTGGAAAGTATCACTCAGTGCTTTATTGTCCCAGAGACGGGAAGTTGGATGAACACTTGTCAGTCAGTTGTTGGCTGTTCTATTTGGAAATGGAAAAGCTTTGTGATTTTGAATACTTGTTTATTTGAATTTATGATACTTTTTTTTCAAGTTTTTCTTGTGTAATGAGACATAAATAAATGTAGAATATAAATAAGGAAATAAATAAAGCACACTAGAAAATAATTAAGCGTGTTTCTTAAACTGTATTTCTGTGGAAATGAATGATAGGAATTGAATATTAAATGTAAGAAGTTATAAAGAGCTGGGTAAATATATATGAAAACGTGTACATACATCCTGAGAATGTAGATATATATATATAGTCCTTTTACATTGTATATTAGGTAGATTATGCTTCATATTCCTACATGTCCACACTCTCAATCAACAGTGACCAAGAAGTAAAGTTACAATCTATCACTTTCCGATACCAAGTCACTGTAGCCTCCAGTCTGCCCTGAAGGAGAAATGTTGCCCAGAGGATTTATTATAACCTTTTGTATTGTAATGGCTGAAGCTTTTGGCAAGCCTGGTAAGTAAACAGCTGTTAATGCCAACAATAGTTATGTAGCAACAGCAAAACGTACAGATGGCTCCTTTAAGTATATTCCTCTTTGATGTCAAAATATTCCAGGCCTGACCGCCACCATTTTATGTCCAATGTTTTTGACAAGTTTTATAATCCATCCACACACGTTTGATAATTCACTGAGCACGAAGCACATACAATTTACTGAACACATTAACATATTTCTCATACATATTTCAGTTTACCCTGTTACATTTTTACACCTCCATACACCTGGATTATGAGCTGGTGGGCATGTTTTACTAAATCATGCTCCTGGACTCTCTCACATTAAAAAATTGACAATTACTCAGTTAAACCACTAGAGGGCAGCATATCTAACCAATAGCAGAGAACTGTACAAGAAAAACTGACAAATTATTTAATTCCATTTAATGATTTGATTTGACTCCTGAGATGTACTGTTTGTATGTCTGTATTAATTTTTGATTGTTCAGTGATTAATGCAGCACTCTGGAGGGTTTGTCATCAGCTGCTGAGAATCCAAACTTCATTTAGAAGCAGCTATATTCCCGTCAGCATCAGTCAGCTGAAACAATAAACATCTCTCTGTGCATGCTGAGGGATATTTGGCTGTTGGGAAAGACAACGAGAGAGTTAGAAAGAGAAGATGTGGGTTGAGGTAAAAAAAAAAAAAAAAGATTTGGGGAGAAAATGAGGCGTTTCTTTCATCACTTGATGTGCTGAGGCAGCAGAACTTCCCAGCTGAAAAATACAACTTCTTTCCCATAAAACATACCACACAATGAACTATAGTTCTGGGTTTACACCATCCACACAGGGAGCTTTTCACATCCATCAAAATATCAGATTGACATCTTCTTATCGACTTCATTTATCAGTGTAAATCAAAACTCTGAAGCAAGTGGGGAAGAAAGAGAGAAGGGAATCCAGCTCCAACCAAAATTCAATTAGTTAACACAAATAATTTCACAACCTCATCTCAATTAAATCTCCAAGATCTATTTATTTCTGTTTGAGGCTCCAGTAAAATATACAGAGACACAGGCTTTCTTCTCAGCAGTCCTGGGATGAGGAGTAAAGATAATGGGACACAGGGAAATTCACCATTTGAGCTTTTATATTCTTAATGTCAGTGATCGAAGTCAGATAGATGTTATTAACCTTCCTCTGTCACCCTCATGCTTTTTAATGTTTGCTGCTGCTCTTGATTTTTCAGCCTCCCCAGTTCTGCCTGTGCGGTATGTAGAGGATATACATCTGTGATCCCTTGAGTTGAGATCTGGGGAATTTGGAGGCCATAGCCTAGGTCATGGCATCTCATACTCATCAAGCCCATTCAATGAGCCCTTGTATTACATCCTGAAAGAGTCAAGTCAGTTTTTATTTGTATAGCGCAAATTCACAACAGAAGTTATCTGAAGGCACTTTTCAAGCAGGTCTAGACCTTCTCTTTACAGCATTATTAGAGACCACTAAAATCAGGATAGATTCATAAAGTGACTTAAATCTATTCCTCTTTCCATCTTTTTTATTTATTTATTGAGATTTTGCCTTTATTTGAAAGTGGTGGCAGAGATGCAGACAAGAATCATGGGAGGAGAGAGAGAGAGGGAAGGGTACAACATGCAGCAAAGGTCGCAGGGTCAGGAATGGAACCAGGTCCACACTCGACATCAGGAGTGCTGGAAAAATTCCCACTGGCCTGTCCAGCTGATTGACCGCGAGTTTCAGGGCAGTGTTAAAAATGGCTAAATTAAATGTGCAAAGCAAAAGGCAGCAACACTTAATTATGCTTTAGGAAAGCTGGAGATGTGTGCACGAAAATATTGATAATAAAGACCTTTGACACATTTGGCGGATGTCTTCCTATATAAAACGAGTCCATAGTTTGTTTGCACAGCAGGTTATTATGACCCAAATCACTTACTCATTAACTACTTCCTCCTTACTATCCAGGAAGTTCTATCTAGAGGACTGGTGAGTTCATTGGTAAAGTGAAAAAACACTTTCAGACACTACTTATGTAATTTTTGCCGCATTGTTTTTGTCTTTCAGCACGAGCACAATTCATGATGGTATATATTGCTGGGTTAGTGACCATCGGTTGTACACTACTTTTCATGATGCATGATACTATGAGTCCACTATATAGTGTAATAATTCTCACTATACATTCGGACAGCACTACAAAATGGTGAACTCACCATATAGTGGACTACATAGGGAGAAGTGAGTGATTTCAGAGACGGCCACATGTTATGTTTTGTTGCAAGCGACAGTGGTCACAGTGATTTCAACAGAAGCGAAGGGATAAGTGCGGTGACGTAGTATAAAGAGAGACAAAGTCCAGGTCAGGAGGAGGTTGTGGTGGGTGGATGGGCCAGAATGTCTCTGGGTTAGTCAACAAAACACAGGTAAGTGACTCAGGAGAATAGTGTTCGATTCCCATGTGAAACTAGCAGCTTGTGGACTATTTTAACCATGACAACAAAGATCTCTAAAGTTGAAGAAGTATTTATTTTAACCCAAATCATGGTAACCATGACAACAGAGTTCCGGTACGCCGGCCTTAAGGTTTGGAGACACTCCCATGGGTCCTATCAGAGGGTTGAATAAGCAACCTGTATGTGTCATGACCCATCAAGTGACTTGAGTTCATGGTTCCTTGTCTTTAATGTTTCCCTGTGTTTCCTGTTTTATTTTGGTACCCATTGTGTTGTCTGGTTTCAGATCCCGCGTCCTGTCAAGTTTCCCTCCTGTGTGATTACCTGCCCCGCCCTAACGTGTTTCACCTGTGTCTCGTTGGCTCCCCTGCCTTAGAGTATTTAGGTCCTTTTCTTCCCCTCATGTGTTGCCAGATCCTCTTTACCTCCTTGTGAGCGGTCCAGCATTCTCTTGTGTAGTCCCTCGTGTTTATGGGATTTTGCCTGTTTTCTGACCATCGATTTTTGTCAAACGATTTTGATACTTCTGCCAGTACCTGTACCTGTACCTGTACCTGTACCTGTGTACTGGTTTTGGACTGATTAAAACTCTGAACCTGACCCTCATCTGAGTCTGCTTTGTGGGTCCACATCCAGTGTGTGTCTGACAGTATGGTTGTTCAGGTTAGAGGACTGGTTGATTTTTAAATGTTTAGAATGTTTTTGAATTAGTTTTTGTAGTAATAAAACTAAAATATATGTTACCTGTAAATTAAGTAAACACAAGAAATATTTCAATGAAACAGTAACGGTACTTGGCCAGTCACCAATCTGGCCCTGATTTGAACACTGTGGCCAGGCAGCATGCTTCCCAACCGTTAGGCCACCGGAATGTCTTAAGAGCATGACAGCATCTGCATTTGTTGGTTCTCCTTTAATTTATTGAAAAATGTGTAATATGTCTCTCATCTGTGTGTTTGTACAACTCAGTACAAATTTACAGCGCTGGCATGGGTGAAATGAAAACAGGCAGGTTGTGCCAGAACTCAACATGGTAAGCAGGTCTGCAGATGATTTTTCTCAAGGTGTGTCAGGGCTGCAGAGCTTTTGGACTCATAAAGAAAAGAAGGAGAGCCATTTTCCTTTTTGTTCAGGCTGACCCATTTGTTTGCCTATTCAGTCTGGCTCATGGACGCTTCGGCAGGGGCAGGTGCATGCCATCGGGGGGATATGAACTTGGGTCCTTCTGAAGGACAAAAAGTGGAACTACTGCTGTTGGCTCAGTGAGAGAAACCATCCATCTCCTTTTCTTTCAGTTGAACTTAAACCCTGCGCTCCTTCCTGTTCCCACACACACAACACATGTGAAGCTTTCTGCCCAGCAGTCGACACACAGTCAGAGTCAAATACCTCGAAACACACAGCGAGACACCTGCTGCCCAAACAAGAGAAGAGAGGAGGACGAGCCCAGAGCTGTAACAGAGCTGTGTGTTGTTCTCTTTTGATCAGGCAGGGTGGATGAACACACTGCTGTGCTTCTCAGGACCCAAGGCATTTGGTTTTTTTCCTTTTTTTTTTCTTTTTATATGATGATGTTTATTTTAAACTGTAATGAAATCGCACCTCCCATTCTGCTGTGCTCTTCGGGAAGTCAAGCGGTGAGAGAGAGCTTTCACAAGGCTACTGACACTCTCAGCTGGAG